ATCAGCAGATTGGACACTCGGGGAGAAGCCACATGCTCTCAAGACTAAATCAAAGATTCTGGTTGCCTCGTGCTAACTCGGCAGCCAGAAAAATAATCAAAGCCTGTGTTTTCTGCCGAAGAATGCTAGCCACAGTTGGAGAGCAGAAAATGGCTGACCTCCCAGAGGATCGGGTGTCTCCAGATCTACCACCCTTTACTCATGTTGGTATTGACTTCTTTGGACCCCTGGAGGTTAAACGAGGCAGAGCAAATGTAAAACGTTGGGGAGTGATCTTCACCTGCCTTGTGAGTCGTGCCATACATCTGGAAGTTTCGAGCTCATTGGACACTGACTCCTGCATCAATGCTTTGCGCAGATTCATATGTCGCAGAGGGCAAGTGACAGGCATCAGGACAGACAACGGCACACACTTTGTGGGAGCACAGAAAGAGCTAAGAGCTGCTCTTAAAGACCTGAATCAACACAAGATTCAAAATGCATTACTCAGGGACGGAGTAAAATGGACTTTTAATCCGCCATATGGAGCCCACCATGGTGGAGTTTGGGAGAGGCTCATCAGACCTGTAAAAAAGATTCTGTGTTCCGTTCTAAAAGAACAGAGATTGGATGATGAGACTCTACAGACAGCTTTGTGCGAAGTTGAGAGCATCATGAATGACAGACCATTGACTACAGTTTCAAGTGACCCAAACGATCTCGAACCCCTCACGCCAAATCACCTCCTTCTGCTAAAGACAAAACCGATTATGCCACCTGGACTCTTTCACAAGGAGGACTTGTACTCACGGAGGAGATGGAGACAGGCACAATACCTCGCAGATCTCTTCTGGAGGAGATGGATAAGAGAATATCTCCCAATCATGCAACAGCGAGTCAAATGGCACAACCCCAAACGGAACCTTCGCCCCAATGATCTCGTCGTCATCGTGGATAATACAGCACCAAGAAATTCCTGGCAAATGGGCCGGGTGATAAAGACGTTGTCAGGGTCGAAAGGGCTTGTCCGAAGTGTCTTGGTGAAAACCAAGAGTAGCACCTTACAGCGGCCAATTGACAAGCTCTGTCTGCTTCTGGAAGCAGTTGATTGAACACAAGGTGTCATGTGCTAGTAACCTCTGACACCCAGTATCACACATACACACATATGCCCCCCCCCTTTTCTCTTGAACTCATGCAAACACACCTAACACAAACATTGGACTATGAACTATGACAATGATTGTATATTGATGACAGTTACATTTGAGTAACTGCTTGTTTTTTGGCTCTATTATAATGTTTTAATTGTTTTGCTACTGCGTCAACAATTAGGGGCCGGTATGTTAGAGCCACAATGAAGTCAAAGTTATTATTTAGATTCATAATTTGATAAATGAATTAATGATGTAAAATGATTTATATTGCCATGGTGAATATCTTTTGATGAAATGATTGTTTATTTCAAATCGTAAATATGATCTGTTTCCTTGTACCTTCCGGTGTTTATTTAAGTGAGGTAATTGAGGACAGCCGCGGTGCTCTGAGACCTGATGAGACGGGGAGCGGAACAGTTTTTCGACCGCAAATTGTAAATGAAATTAGTGTTGCAAATTGGACTGCAAAGTATAGTTTATATAGGAAAGTATATCGCCGAAATTATTAGTTAGATTTGTTATTTTGAGACTATTTAAGTCAATACCTTTTTTGTTAATAAATTACATTTTTTGACTGAAAACCTTCGGCTGCTTATTGCTCTGGATTGCGTGTCGTCAACCCCGCTCTATAGTGGCATCAAAGGAAACCTTGGATGCCATTACAATGGTGTACAGAGAGCTTTAAAAAGTGATACCTTGACATCTACAGAGCACTTGTGAAATTTCCGCATTAATATGTTTGCCTGGGCATACAGTTTGCAGCGTTGTCTATGGATGTCTTTGTCGTCTGTAAGATCATCAGAAATATAATGACCAAGGTACTTAATCTGACTGCACACAAGAAGAATGTTGCTACTGAGAATAAAATTAGGAAATACAGCCTTTTGATCCTCTTTACTTCTCACAATCATGATACTACTCTTCTTGGCGTTATAGTTAATATTAAAATCAATGCCATACTGGGAACAAATCCTCAGAAGCTGTTAAGTAAGCCAGCACTGCACGGGGAAAAGATGATTAAATCATCTGCATACATAAGGTGGTTGACAACAGTAGCACCGATGACACAACCAGTTTTACACAAGTTCAGTTTCCTAGACAGATCATCCATGTACAGATTAAACAACAAAGGAGATAAAATCCCACCTTGCTTGACCCCATTACCAACATAAAAATGTTCAGACACAGTATTGCCCCACTTCACCTGCATAGTCTGATGTGCATACCAGAAGGCTAAGATCCTTATTATGTACTTGGGTACCCCTCTCTGGCACATTTTGTCAAATAATTTGAAATGATTCAGTCTATCAAATGCCCTGGAAGCATCAATAAAACACAGAAACATGGTGGAATTATGGCTTCTATATTTTGCTATAATGTCTTTTAAAGCAAAAATACACATATCTGTGCCGTGTTTTCTTTTAAAGCAAACTGGTTGTCAGCTGTGGTAATATACCTTTCCAGCCTATCCAACAGAATTTTCTCCAACACTTTGGAGAGAATGCTAGCTAAAGCAATGGGTCTGTAATTATCAATGCCATTAATCTTCCCAGCTTTATCCTTGATGACTGGCACAAGTAGCACAGATAACATGGAATCTGGTAAGACACCATGATTAAGGAAACCAGTAAGACACAGAGCAAGAAGAGGAGCAAGCTTAAGACTGGCATATTTTAAGTGTTCAGCTGAGATGAGATCCGGGCCACAAGCTTTGTTATTTTCTAGATTCATTATAGTGTTGAAGACTTCCTCTGATCTAACTATAACGTTTTCAGTGGAGTCAACCTTTTCAACCACAAATGCATCACTCTTGACGCAGGTGAACAACTCATGATAGTGTTGTCGCCACAGTTCAGCAATGTTGTCTGACCCACACACTCCTTCAATAGAAGACGGTAAGGGAGTCTTACGGCCCGTCCACACAGCAGCGTTAAAAAAATCTTGGAACGCTTCTGCCCATTCACTTTGAATGGGGTGACGTCACTTTGCCTCACTTTTCGCCGAACTGCATTGTGGGCAGCAGAGCGGAGATTTTCAGGATTTTCAGGATTTTCAGGATTCAAAGTTGAGCAATGTTCAACTTTTGAAGCTGAGGTGGAAGCATCAGCCAATCAAATCCCGTGTATGCAAATCTGACAGTTCAAGCGCTAGCCAATCAAACCGCGTGTATGCTGGGAGAGACATACCACAGGTCATTTCCTCATATTCCAAAAAATGGAGGAGAAATTAGCGGTAGGGAATCACCCGGTGCTTTATGACCAGTCCCTATTTACCTACCGGGATATAAACCGGAGGAGCCAGGCATGGAGGGAGGTGGCAGAGACAGTGGTAGGTTTTCGCCTGTTTGGGGAGTTTATATCCAGTTTACTTCGGGCTTTTTGGCTTCGTATGTCGGGGGCGGGAGATTCATGTGATTGGTTGTTGGTGCCTTGCTCGCAAAAAATCCCCAAGCTTCAGATACGCCCACCTCCAAGATTTTTTTAACGCTGCTGTGTGGACGGGCCGTTACAGCAGTCTATGACTTTGACCTCTTTCCAGAAATCATAGCAACTATTGTTGTGCAGCTTTCTGGCAAGTGAGTCAGCCCTCAATGTGTCCTCATTTTTTTTAATGAAGCGGACAGCATACTTATATTTGGCATTAGTGGCCTGTTTATGTACAAACAAAGACCCCTGTCTCGGCCTACCAGATTCTGCCGACAATTTAAAAGCATCTCTAGCAGCAGTGTGTAGCTCAGTCACATGTTCATTCCATCCAGGTTTTATACTATGCTCGTATTTTTCTTATTGTTGTAAAAACCCTTACTTGAGGCATTTAACACACCAATAATAAGATCATATGTAAAACATAGATCACTACCATGCTGCGCATTTTTACAGTTGGTGTCACTACACAGCATTGCTTCTCTTGGAATTACAACCAAGTCTAATGATTTGTCAGTGAGTGAGGTATAGTGTTTAATATCCTTCTCACTTAACTTTGACCAATCCAGCCTCCCTGTGTACGTTTTATTGTAATCAACAGATAGCACCGGAATATTTTCAACATTTAGGGTCAATACAAAAGGAATATGATCTGTAGTAGCCAACTCATAACAAATGTCAATGTTGTCCAGAGAAGCGTGTGCATCAGCTGTGCATATACAGTGATCAAGCCATGATACAGTATGCCATGCTTCAATAATATATGTAAAGCTTTTCTCAGGTAGTAGAGATTTGCTTGACAGTATGAGATTATTATCGTTACAAAAATGCAGTAAACATTTGCCAAACAGAGATTTATCATCCGAAATGTCAGCATTCAAGTCCCCCAGTGCGTTAACAAATGCCATTCTATTGCGATATTCATCTTCATTTTCATACGATTCATAAGGTGTATAAATATTTAAGATAATAAATGACCTATTTTCATACTTGATCTCTATACCAATGGCCCACTCGACGAATTGTCTTCGTGAGGCGAAAAATGCCCGATGGCACCGATGATCAGACGAAGATGACACGATTTGATAAGATGCCCTCACGAGTGCCTTGCGAAGGACAAAAATGGACACACAAATTCAACACGAAAAGGAACCTTCGCAAGGCCTGAGAAACTCCACCGGTGGTCATACGATGGCTTAAGATGCCCTCACGAATGGCCCGATGTTGTTACGATCAGAGCCGAATTTGAACATTTCCTTTATCGTGTGTCCATCTGGTGTCAATTTTGGGACAGTGTGACAGGGGCTTTACCAACACGTTTTTGAGTAAGATTTTCGATTTTTAGATCCATGGATAAAATCACAGGATTACTACAGGTTCTTGGGTTTGGCAGAAATTGTTGATTGTTTTTTAACTACACCATAATGTAAACAAGACTCACCACTGGTCAGGAAGTTGGTAGCCTTGTCCTTGATGGCTTGGGTCAGCTGCTGAGTGTTTTTCAGGTACTGGAGGATGTAGATGTTGGGGGCCAGGAGAGCCATGTTCTGCTCACCACATCCATACGGCATCCGCAGCAGCCCATCCAGGTTGTTTAGAGCTCTGCCCAGAATGTCACCTGCACAGAAACAATGAAGCTAAGACTGTGAAAATGTAACTCAGCTGACTTTTGACTTTTTTTGACCCTCCTCAGTGTCATCCGAACGGCCAACGCTCTTTCATCCTTCCAACACACACAAAAGCACAAGTAGCCGGCTTTCAAATCATCTGCTAAAGTAGAGATTTTCTCTGTTCTTAGTTCAAATCTTAGTTAAACATGTGAAGGGAAAGGTTTTTGAATTGCTTGACAACAATGTTATTAAAGCAAAACATGATATCTCCGGAAAAAAAATATTCAGACAGAAATGTTTTTTTTTTCTTCCTGATACCATTATTGATAAAGCTTAAAGAGAGGGAAATGTATTTGTTACCCAGAACTGATAGCGAAGCTCGGGCTGATCCAACAATGACGTTCTCAGGCAGTTGTATTTCTATTTCCTCTTTCAAAGCCTCTCCTGTGTGCAGACAGGGAACAAACCCTCAGCTCAGTACAAAACAAAGATGTTGTTAAGATATTACATATTGTATTGGTAGTTTGATAAAATACCACACAAATTGGTGTCCATTAATAAATAAAAATCAGGTTGATCAAATGTATTTACATAATGACCTTCCATAAATCAATGACACCTGCACTTAACTTAGCACAATTTCCATAATAATTGCAATTACTGAATGTATTCATTATATTTTTTACATGAAATGTACTCCTAACTAACTTATAACCTTTGGCTGTTTCTTTTCCTGAACAAACTGACCTTCTGGGCAGAGCAGCCAGTTGTAGGTCTTGGACATCTCAGTTCCTTCCGCCTGAAAGGAAAATATATAATGTGAGTTCAACATTTTCCCTATAGTAAATGGATAAATTATACTTTGTCATTTTGTTTAAACGTCCTGACCTTGACTATGAGAGAACGTTTGACCACGTCGATACGACCCCTTTCTGGCACGCTCACAATCTCATTGTCACACGAAGCTTGGGATGCCACAGCCTCAGCAGTCACTGACACATTCACAACCCCTTCAAGAGATCAACAAACAAGATGTGAAACTTGATCAAGAATTGTGTTTTTATTCATTATCGTATATAAACATTCTGTCACTAAGGTGGATATGATTTCACTGAGCTAAAAAAGGTTGTATTCACCTTGGCAGACTAACATTTCATATCAGTCAAAAATGCTTCTCTCACCTAAAGCTGAGGGGGCCATGGTCCAGCTGAGGGTCTTGCGCTCACCACCGCACAAACAGGATGTGTACTGGTCACCAGAGAGGGGGGTAAGGGTGTAATCTAAGGAGGGGTCTGGAGCCACAGTAACCTGTTGAGAGAGAGAGATGGCAATATATACCAAAGAAAATGAAGATTTAAAGCAGAATCAGGAATGATTCCAAAAACCCAGAAATGTGTTGGCATTACTGCACGTCCGGTTCCTATGTCTCTGGGTCCCAGTTCTTTGAATGGGTTTTTGGTTAGAATGAAATGAAATCTGCGGTAAACACATGAGTTTAAGATATTTCTTTATTAACAACATAAATTCCGTAAGTAAATACCACACCGATGAATATCTGAAGCTTCCGTGTCTTAAAAAAGGTGGTTGCTAACAAGTGGTCAAATGAGATTAATAAACATTAGTTGCCTTTAACTCAGTGGCGGTGGCTTAAAAACATACAACTGTGAGTTTGTTTTTAGCCCTTTGGCGATAACATTAATACTTAGAAAATTATAAGATTGGTGTTAATATGTTGAGATTATCCCGCTGAACTAAAACCTCTAACGGACGACGGAAGTGCCAGCCAATCAAATCATATACAAGCACTAGCCCATCAAACCTCGTGCTTGTGTGTCCGGGGCGGGAGATTAATGTGATTGGTTGTTGGTCGCGCGCCAGACACGCCCACCGGCAAGCGTCAACGCGACGGAACCGTGTGGACGTACCGTAAGTATCATGAACGTTTAATTGTATTTACCACAGCATCATTTTTGCAAGATTCCAAACCCAGTGGGACTATGGATGCTAACTTTCAGGTTTTCCCTCACGTCATCCCAGCTCCACACTATTGTTTAAACTGCAGCATGATGTTACACCATTTTGACCTTTCTTAGGTGTATCTTGCAGACTTTATTTTCAAATAAGAGCAGAGAATAATCAAGGAGTTAGAAAACTAAAGTTAATAAATGAAGATTACTCCAGGTATTTACAAGAACCTTGGTATCCCTGTCATCATGATTTTTGTTGAAAGGGCCCGTTAAAGAGATGGTGAAGGAAAAGGCAAAGTACAGGTTTTAAATAGAGACCCTTCTAGCGATGGGATCAAGATGTGATGCCAAATAGGACCAGGGGTGTAAAGTGGGAGCTAATTGCACCTCCCCCACATTTCCTACACCCCTACATCAGATGTCTTCACTGAGCAATGCCCCCTTTTTACTTCGCCTACATTTTGATCTCAACGACAAACCTCGATTTCATTACTGTCATGGCTGGCAATAATGATCTAATATAGTTTTTTATTTGACTGTAAAAAGTGAGTGGTTTTAGTCCATATCAATAACAGTCTAAATAATGAGAACATATGTATCAACTCATAAGGAAACCAATTAAAGTATATTGTACAATCCTACATTTGGTTTATGGTGTTCAGAGAAATATGTGGGATCACAAGTATAAGGAATATTGAATGAATCATCTGAGTATCTATTCAGTAATCTTGTCCAATGTGAAATAAGAGGCAAATGTTTTAAGAACTTGGTCAATGAGTAAGGGACTGAGGCCTTGTTTAGAATGCCAGCCAAAATCTCTTTTTGGCATTTGCAGATTATATCCAAATTGACTCCAGAACTTCAATTTCCGATCAGATGTCAAAGGATGTGTCACTTGCAACGCAACACACAATAACAATGTCTATGGTGAAAGTTCTGAGCAGAATCCATGCTGCAAAAAAACAGTCAATAGACGGATGCACAAATAAATAGTTTGTTGGGACATTTTGGAGGTAGGAATGTGAAAAGGCAATGCCAGAGGAACCCTATTGAAAAGAAACCACCTATCAAGAGATACATTTCTATGCAATGAGATGAAGGATATGCAATTCAGTCAAAGTACAGTGCAGTCATTACACAACTATAAATTGCATTTATATTGGGTGCATTTCCATAACATTTGTTACATTTTCACCTGGTGATCCCTTAACTTTGCATATAGCAGCATAATCAGGTCAAATATTTAATTGGCCAAATACATCAGCCTCTACTGTACTTTGTGTTAAATGTTAATTAGCAAATGTCACCATGCTAACACGCTAAATTAAGACGGTAAACATCTCAAGCATGTTAGCAACTATTATGAGCATGCTGACGTAAATATGTAGGGTATGTGGAAATATAAGTTACCATGATGCAGCTGGTCAGGTAGTTGAAGACGGTTGCCTTCAGTTCAAAGTGCTCCCCTCGGATGATGGAGTAGGGCAGGCTGAGCTCGAGGAAGAAGGGCTGGAAGACCGTGATCTCTTTACGAGGAGCCAAGCCAAAACCTTGAGAGGACAAACAGAACGCCTCCGTCTCCCAGGTGGTGATGGTGTCTGGGACTGTGACGGACACATCCTTCGTTCCAGACTTTCTGGATCAGCAAAAACACACAAACAGATTCTGTGAACTTGAACACATACATCAGGGGTAGGCAAGTAAGTTTGGCCGTGGGCCAATTTTTTGCTGAGCCACAAGATGGCGGGCCAGAACATAATCGAAGCCTAATTCAAGGAATTGATTTTGGTAAGAGGGCGCAGCGCCCCTGTTCCCCGGTTCAGAAAAAACTCTGATATCGCTGATAACCCTCCCCATCAACACTCTGATGCGCAGTCAGATCCGCTGATTGGTTCACTGATGATATAGGCGCCCAATCCAGAGCCTCTGGATAGACCCGCCCAAAGGGAGGCTCGTCGTCTCTAGCCCCATTTCAGTCCCATGTTAAAAGTCAGGGCTATTATCTGTATTTTAACAGACTTATCTTTTAAATTGAGGTGTATTTATTGTTCTCTTCAAAGTTTATTTTTTTCTGAAATTTTAGGGAGGATGGTCCTCCCTTTCTTCAATGGACGAGCCTCCACTGAGTGAGTTATTAACTAGGTAGCAGTGTTATTTAACATACTTTTATTCTGATAAGTATTGTCAAGTTCTCTGGGTTTTTGGCATTTATTTGAGTGTTTGCCCACATTTGAGAGGCTTGAGGGGCAACAGAGGACGCATGGACAACTGGAATCCTTTTTCCTTTTCTTTATTTCAACTTTTCAAGGACACATTAGGATTCTTTCAGGTTGAAAACCTTTAAAAAATACAAAATAAATAAATTACAGCATGTTTTGCTTTGCAATTTATTTAATATATTATAAACCTAAATTAATCAGTAACCAAGTATTTTACTCAAACTCAATGTATTTAATAGTTAAAGGGGACCTATCATGCAAAATGCACTTTTGTACGTCTTGTATACATGAATATGTGTCCCCGGTGTTCCAGGGAACTCACCAAGTGTCAGAAAACACAACCCTCTCTATTTTCCTCCATACCCAAATCTCTAAAAAAGGGGCTGCAACGGATCTGATAAAAACTGATCCAGATTTGAACACTGTCCTGACGTCAGGACGGTGGCGCTACGGCTATTGGGCCAACTCTCCACCTATCAGGGGAATGTGGGGTTGGGCCACGGCCGGCCATTGCCGCTTGAAAGCGCTGGAGACGCTGTAGTACATATGCCAGGCCTGTAAGTGGCGCTGTAGTCTGCCACAAAAGCAGCGAAGAAGACTTCCCGCGCATGGTTGCCATGGTTACCCTTCTGTTTATTCTCCGCTGTGGCTTTTGTTCTCCCTCCCCGAGGCAAGCACTGTAATTCTCTCCGGTTAGTCCACCAGCAGATGACAAACACCCACCTCTCCGTCTCTTCCAAGGAACGAGGGGACCGTGCGGCAGAGTTTCAGTTAGGTTTTCTTTCGCCGGTCAAGATGTCCGTTAAAGTTTAAATCTTCCGGACAAAATTAGAAAAGTGCCGGTCAAAGGTCTTCTTTGTTATTTATTGAGCTTTAAAACAAATGAATAACAACTCTATATAATAATATAAGAATAAAACACGGAGGACAGAGATCTCTTTTTCTCCCCCTCTTCTGACTTGATCAGAGCACGCTCCCCTCTCCTGCAGGGGGGCGTGGTCAGCTGCAGCTCACAGAATCAGCCCCCTGCAAAAACAGGGCTGGAGAACAGCAAATAGAGTGAAATGAGGCATGGCTAAAATGCATGATCTGTTTGGTATTTTGAAAACAGAAACGTATAAATATACCTTATATAGGTATGGCCCTACAATATATCATTTAAATATAGCATGATAGGTGTCCTTTAAATAAGTACTTTAATTGACGTCAGTGCACCCCGCTGCCTGATTGTGCCTGTGCTGTATGTCATTCATTCTCAACATAGATAAAAGTACAATAAGCATTCTTCAGGTGTAGGTAGATTCTCTATTCGGACATTATAGCCTATATGTGCGACTGTCGGTCCGATGTTGTAAAAAAAAAAAAATCTCAAAATATTTTTTTATTTTTTATTCTCAAAATTACGGGCCAAATATTATTGCTGGCGGGCCAACAATGGCCCGCGGGCCGCCTGTTGCCGACCCATGACATACATGATGTAGTGTACAAGACTGTAAAAAACAAGGCATATAATACATAAGTAAAATATAACGGTCACCATAATTAAAAAACATTTTTTTAAATGTATTTACAAATTGAATGTTCACCAAGCTTCATTACACTTTTAATGATATAATGTACGTGTTATTATACAGTTTAACCTGTATGGGGCTCTACACTTACATTGGATTGAGGTCTGACATTCTGATTAGGGTCAAGAGTGAAGAAGTTGAGAGATTGCCACAACATTCTATATGTTTATTTTTATAATTGTATTTGTAAATATGTTATAAGTTATGAGGAACAGTTATTGCATTATTGTTATTCTGTGAAGTTGTGTAATGAATGGTCAGAACTAACATGTGAATAACGCATGCAGAGTACTGTATGTGTTTTTAGTAATTTAGGAACATAAATAAATATGTTATTCTTTGGCAAAGACACAAACTTAAGGAATGTGAATAAAGCCAGACCATTCTATACGCTAACTTGTGTGACTTCTCATGAATTTTCTCAGCCCTCCTCAGATCGCAATCCTGAGATGGTAACAGAAGCTATAACCCTGAAAATGATTCCCACTAGCACCAAAAAAACACTATTCCCCCTACAGAATCATTTAAAAATAAATGCCTGTAAAATGATGAATACATGTTCCTTGGCATAACAAAAGTCCTTACATACATATTTGAGCCAGCAGGTTAAAAACCATTCTAGTTGAACGGTACTTTTCCTGCTAACCCTTTGTGCAGGGAGAAACTCCCTCAATTCACGACCATGAAAACGATTTGAGGCAAAATCTTACCCAACCTCTATAAGCTCCCATATCCAGGTCTCGGGGAAAAAAGTGCGGACAGTCTCAATCGGTGAATCAAAAGAATGTTGGTTTGGGGAAGCGCTCCCCGGTCGCGAGCGCATTCGATCTGGAGCAGATTTATATCTTACATGCATACCTGAAATGAAAGCATACAATAATCCATCAGAAGCAGCAGAAAGCAATGACATAGTGACCTTTTTAAAAGCTGGTAAATAAACAGAATGTGTCATTTGATAGAACAAGAAAATCAAATACCATGGCCCTGGTGGTATTCTCTTCCTCTGTACTTGAGGCATGTCGGCACTCTGATAACCAGGTTTGTTGCTATCTTCATACCTACATTCTGAATACATAAATACAGTCATCACTTAAAAGTTGATTAACTAGGCAACAACTACATATATTGGTGTATGCTTTATTTTGTACATTAATGTTTGTGCACTAAGTACCTGGAAAACTGTATGAGCATCATCTCTCTGGTTTCTTTCACGATATGGAATAGCGTATCTTCTGGGTCTTACAAGCAAGCATTCTACACGATCTTCAACATTATGTGGAACATGGGATGCTTTTTTGACAGGCAACAAGTTGAATATCTGAGAAGAAAGGTATGATTCAATGTTATACACTGACAAGTGTTTGTTGTTCTTTAGGGGAGCTCTATGATTTAAGTTGTAGTCTTTTATCTTGAAATATGAATATAAATTATATTTGTTCAAACAGCACCTCACAAATATGATCATAACTTTTTCCTATAGCATTTTCAAAACAATGGGCCTCAACTAAATATGGCAACACAATCAGCATCAAGCTGCATTAAACAGATGTTTTACATAATTGTTTACGATATTCAACTGGTAGAAGAAGAGAATGATTACCATGACACAAGGAAATGACAACACAAACTCTAACCTCTTATTAAAGCTTATGCTGAGGCAACGTTAACTATGTATCTATTTGTGGTTGATTCTAGCAGGTACCTTGTCTGCTTCCAGAGTTTTCCCTGGCTCCTTGATGAGGACGCTCTGGTCGATAGCGCTGACACCACACAGAGAGTCTGGCAGGGCCTTCACCTGCAGGGTGGTCTGCTCTCCGGGGACGGCCGAGGATGGAGAGAACTCCAGCGACACCTGACGTATATACAAAAATATATCTAATCAACCAGAGAGTGAGATGATTTGTTTTGAGAACCTACACTGTTCTTAACCTTACACAAATGTGTAGTTTAACCTTTAATGTAGTTTGTGGTCTTAAGTGCCTAGAGGGGCAATGTCCCCACGCCAGACCCGCACATAGCAACATTGCTAGATAGTGTTTTAGTGGAATGACATGGGCTAGCTGTTGTTCCTGCCAACGCTTAATAAATAACTCATAGTGTCTAATGTGGTTTTTAGATTTTGTTGTTATTCTCACTCCCCAATCCCAACTCTGCTAATGTCGATGCTTCCTTTTGGGAAGTGACAAGGTGAGAGGGTAGGCACCAAAAATCAACCTTGCGCTTGTTCAACATTTAAAGGGGCCATATTATGCCTTTTGGGGTTTTCCCTGTCGTGTGTTATATAGGTTTTTGTGCATGTAAATGGTCCTCAAAGGTTAAAAGTCCTGTGTACCCTCCAGAGGTAAAACTCGCCTCAATACTAAACCTTGGCTAAGATTAAACTTCACTTTAATTTGCTGATCATTGTTAGGGAATAATTTGCTTAGGTATCTGACCTTTGACATACTTTGTCTGTTTCTCCTTCCTATGCCTCCTTTCCCATGGACACACGTCTTCAGCCCTGGGCTTGCTGCTATCCCCCTTAAGGAGGGGCTGCTCAAGCTGTCGTTGTTGCCAGTTTACAACCGGGCACAACTTGACATGAGATAGTTTACTGTTTAGGGACATCTGGAGCACCTTCTTATCTTACACACAAGGGGCTCCTGGGTGCACATTCTCTACCCACAGCTGACAACTTCTGTTGATTCAGTGTCTACTCTACTACTGTTTAGTCTCGGTGATGAGGAATGTTGATTACACATTACATGTCATTTGTTAGACTCTTTTATCCAAAGCGACTTACATACATTCAGTACTGTGGACAATGCCCACAGGAGCAATTTGGGGTGAAGTGTCTTGCCAAGGGACACAACGACATGCTGACTGCAGTGGGACTCGAACTTGCTACACCCTTATTCGAAGTCCAGCACTCTATCCACTTAGCCACAGCCCCCCCACACTCTGAACTAGATAGAACCTCCAACTGCGGAAGAGTTCTTCAGAATTGGTTTGGCAACCGCTGTGTCAACTCGTGGCACAGCATGTCTTGTGAATTCTCCGGCCAAAGCTCCAAATAAACCATCAGTGTTTGCCATCAAAGTTCCTGCTCCCCTCGTGTCTCTCTGAGTCCTCTCTCCATTGCTTCAGAAGTTTCCATCACAGTCATGGCTTCAGTCAAACCACATGCTTTACCCACAACATGAATGATCTCGCATAACAAAACTTTGGTTTAACTTCTATATTTATTATTTTCTTACCAGGAACAAAAAAATGATTAATCTTGGAATTTCCACAACAGTTAGTATTTTGGAATGTTTATAAAAAGATATCCGCATATGAACAGAATCTTTAGGCAAATGCATCAAGATTATGGTATCAGAAGCTTCGTAGTCGATTCCTATTGAGCAATGATGTTTGAGCGCCCATCAAACCGGCGTGAGACTGATAGCACAGATAAATATACACTTTTTTCTATACCTACATCTGACCATAACAGTGACTCCTCAAACTGACCTTGTGACTGAAGCATTTCTCAATGGAGAAGTCGGCGCTTTTGGCGATCACAGTCTCACTGGGGAGGATGGCGTAAATTATAACCTGGATTTCTGGAGCCATGTCTGGAGACAGTGTGAGCTTAAAGGACAGCTGGCCCTCATTCACTGAAACACAAACCAACTGTTATGAACCACAATCCTCAATAACATGACTCCTTGGATCAATAAAACAATACAAATAATGATTTAGCAATGCTTATTTAAAGGGAGATTTTAAGATGTCATTCTCTTCTCACCTGATTTATCTTGCACTTCAACCCGTTTAACTCCTTGCATGACAATGGCACCTCTGGATAGGACCTGGGGAATTTCAAAAGTTGAAGAATGAATAATGTACCGATAACTCTGGGTTTAGCAAACCGACTATTTGCTTAAGCAGTGGGGAAAGGAGTTGTTTGTGAAAAATAACCAATCAGAAGCAACAAAAAGGGGAACTCCGGTGATGAAACTTATCTGGATAACAATAGGGGTGGGTATTGTTCGGATTTTATAGAAACCCAGACTGCTTTTCAACCGGTATTCATCAATACTCTTATTGATACTTTAATCCATTATTTTGATCATTTTATTTGAGATATTACATGAATAGATGTTAAGATTAATTAAGCAGTGGCGAGCCGTCAGGGCCCTCTAGGCCCTCTCTGAGGGCCTAAGATATTCAACATATTTTTCTTTAAATATTTTTTTAGTTATATTTTTCATTAGTTTTACCAAAATAACTTGATTTAATTGTATTAAAAATAACATTTCCAAAGAAATAAATCCTTCGAATCTGCCTGTTCAGTTTCTGTTGGAATGTGAAGGGTTAAATGAAAGAAGCTCGTCTCTGCGAGTCACTGTGAAGACAGGAGCTGATTGGTGGTCCAGCTATGAATTCACAGAGGGCCCGCTATAGTAACTGAACGAGAGAGTAATGTCAAATGACAGTACAATTGACCAATCATATCTTCCCTCTAAATGGGTGGGCTTTATTTTCGCATACTTTATGACAAGTTCCGCCCGCTGTGAAGTTTATGCATGTGTGTTATAGAGTGGTGCAGTGACGCGTCCTAAAACCCGGAAGTAAGCTGCACTCGGGTTCCCTCGACAAAAAAGCTACAATGTTACAATGATAAACTAGAGTGGCAAAGGATCAGCTGCATGACCCGCCATCAAGTGCTTCATCCAAAAGGACAGGAGGATGGACTTTGTGTTTAAGTGATATGATCATCAAAGGTAGGCCTAAGTCATTTTCAATGTGGGCCGCCGTGCCGACTTCATTCATTTTTAATTGTTACTTGGGTGCCCTGTCATGATAGGTGTTTATATAAATGGTTTTCTTTTGTGTGGTAGAGGGTCGCTGTCATTGATGCGTTTTGCACCCCGGGCCGCTGTTTTGATATTCCGCTGAAGTATACGCTGTGACGTAATAACTCTTGTTTTTTTTCGAGGGAAGGGCCTAGGTATAAAAGTCACGGCTCGCCACTGTAATTAAGTTATTATATGTATTGTTTTTCAGAAATTACTGTCAAACTATAGTCTTCTCAGAAGCAAATAATATAGAACTTACATACTTTTGGGATACTATCATCAATAAGTTATTATCATCAATCCAATATTGGTATAAATGATTAAATCTGCTATAAGCTACTCATGCTCCACACCACATTTAAAGCGAACAAGTGCAGTTGCTATTTGTCATGGATTAGGTTTGCTGTTGCACTGAACTAGTTGCTCACTGCTTACTGATATATAGTGGTCTACAGCAAGTGCAATACATCTAGCTTTAGCCACTTCCAAACTTGGTTAAAGTTTTCCAAATCAATTGCGAGCATTAATATCAATGACAGCCCCAAAAATGACATTTTTACTTACGAGATACATCATATCAACTGAGCCCTGGGCCTCTCCAACTACTGTGTATTGGATAAAGATTTCTTCTTCTTTGTCACATGGAAGTGGTTTATCCTTCTTCTTCACCTCCAGGAAGCTGACTGTTTTAGTATCAGGAGAAGAGACTTGGGCCAACGAAACTGTGTGATGTCCAGCCTCATAGTATGGTGTTCTATGATGGTGGTGGACCAATGTTGGTGTCAAGCTTAGCTAGATAACAGAAAAGAACAATGTAAATATTGGTAAAGACCAATGTAAATATTGGTCTTTACCTTAACCAATAGAAAGTCAACACTTCTAATATACTTGGTCAATTGTATTATATCGGGAAACATTTTAGGTTTCAGCTTTTGTTTTATACATCTTTATTGTTAGTTATTAAGTGTTATGATGTGAATCATAATTGTGGGAAGCTTGATTGTTTCTCCTTCTTACGTGGAAATGGATGTTCCCATTTACGTTAACTGTGCTGAATGAGAAAGGGGCAACACCATTGCTGTCAGTAGTGAGATTCTGTATCGAACGTGCTGACCACCTTTCACCCATAAACAGGTTCACCGGCATGTCAGCAATTGGTGTATTGTTGTAATAAACTGCTTTTACCTGTGGAGACAAAGTGGTTTTACTGAGAATGTATTTCAGTATATACAGTACAGTGCAATTCAGTTGCCTCACACTAAAGAAGTGAAGACAAGATGCACTTACTTTTCCCTCCACAACTGATCCTTGGTCATAAATCTTGGGTGTGTCAGTGAAGGACAGCTTTCCAACAACATATGAAATATCCATACGCTTCTCTCGTTGGTGTGAAATACCTGTAGAAGGATGCTCCATATTAAGAAAAACACATCTTCCATATGTCATATTCCGGATTAAATTACTTTTTAAAATACATATAAATATATATCAAATGTATAGAAATATATTGTGAAGCAAAATACAAATATATATAAAAATACTTGCCCGTGCCCTCCTCTTCCATCTCAGCAGTGAGTTTCAACTTATCTAGCAGAACCTTTTGGGCAACTTTTGTGAAGGTTGACATTGGGAAGATAAAAGTGGCACAGCCTTTCTTGTCCGTCTAGAAAGCACAATAAAATAGATTAATAACAATGAAATAAATTGAAAAGGGAAGAAATGGCCATCAGAAAAGACCTATTCTTCAGGAGAGCAGAGTGTCGCTACAAAAACTGTACCTGCTTTGTCTCCTTGTAGCATGTAGCAGATATTCCCTCTGTATTGTCATGGGTGAATGTAAAAAATTGTTTAAAATGTCTGCACATCTCTACGTTAACACTGCCTGGCACCGGCTGTCCATATGTATACCTAATGTGAAAGACAAAGAAGAAAAGGGTTGTTAAAACTCAGCACACTGGACTTTAATGTAATGTTTAATGAAATTAGCAAAGAGCTTTAACTTACGTTGCACAAACTTCAGCTTTGATTTCTTCCTGATCAATACTTACTTCGTCAGATGCAGTTATTTTAACATCAAATTTAGGCAAAACTGGGGACAAAATAGGATAATTAGCATTCTTGCCTCATTATTTATATTATTAATGTATTGTAATGGGGGCTTAAAACAATACCTTACCATATTTCTCCACTTTGAAGCTGTGATATACTTTATTAGACCCGGTCGACACACTAACTTTGTAGGATCCTTCACGAGCCTCGGAGTTCAAGGCATAAGAAAGCTGCAATATACTATCGGATGTTTCATTCAGCCACTGTCCAATCTTGTTCCTGTTAGCATCCTATATTTATAAATAAAGTAGATTAAAAGAACTTGACGAAAGTAGGATGTAGGGTGCAGAGCAAATAAAAGAAAAAATCTACTTCAAATTAAATCCATTAAAAGGCAGTACAGAAATAGCTCATTTTTTTGTCACGCAAGATTTTCGTGATATTTTGAGGATAAGGGACAAATAAGAAGGAAATGCTGATTTTCTAAATGGGAATAAGTAAAACTGGACCAAATTACTTTAAGGTATTCTGATCCAACTTAACCAAAAAGGTTATCTTCAGTGTAATATAATAATAGTTTAAAATGTTTATATTATTTCATGTATTTGTTATGTACATCATTGTAGTCTTACCTCAATTTCGATGATATTATACTGCAAAAGAAAAAATAATTGTTAAGGGACCAGCTGTTGTGTATTGTTTTTAATACGGTGGCCGGCAGGTGCAAACGCGGAACAACGGCCAAAAACGCATACATAAGCAGGAAACAGCTGCAAATAATGAAATGAAAAACAAACAAACCCTGAAAACAAATACAACAAAAAAACACTGCATTTACAGAAATGATGCAAACTAAATACAACTCACAAACCCCGAAAATAAACGCAACAGAAAAACGCTGCAAATACAAAAACGATATGCAAACCCAAAAACACATACTAAACCCAAAAACACACAGTGCTCCAGGCCTCTAGAGGGCGCGTCACGTGGAACAGATTGATGTCTGACCAGACATAGAGAGAACGAACGAGAGTGATGGAAATTGAAGCCGGAGGAAACAAAGTTGATCGAAGTGGACAAATCGATAAGAAGGTAAGTTTTGTTTTGTTGTCCTACAAAGAGCGTCATATTTACATTTGAAATACAATGAAATTATCTTTTTCAAAGCCACACCCCCACATATGTCATATGTTTGAAAAGCCCAGGATGTCCTCTGTGGAGTACAATTGGATGCTGTGGCATGTTTAACCTCAAAGTAATGGACCAAAACCCAATGTGCTCCACAGAGGACAAAAATGAATGGGTGGGTCTCTGGAGGATGGAGAATACCACGTCATTGTAACTCAGACTTTAGTTTTTATGTTCAATATGTGTGACAGACATGTATACTGTTGCTCAGAGTATGTCATTCTGATTTATAGTTTTTGGAAAAAGTGATAAACAGTTCAATTTTATCTCAACATTAGTTCCACTGTCATGTCTTATTAAAGGATATACGTGCTACAAACGTTTCAAAATGGGGCAGAAATTGAAACCCGAACCATTATTAAACATAATCACTATTTTTTTTATTTGGGAATGACATTAGGAGGGACTGTTCAAACACTCACCATCTGATTGGCAGGTCTCATCTTGGTATCCAGTGAGATGACTCTGAATTTCACTGACAAAAAGCAGAAAGATTACAAGAAGCGTTTACAGCTCTCCTTCAACAGTACTAAAAGGTCATATTATGTTTGGTATACTCCTATAGTATGTAACAGGTTTTTCTTTTGCATGAAAATGCTGTGCAAAGTCTAAAATCCCAAAGTTCCCTCCAGAGGGAGTTTTTTCTTCCACACACTCCTCTGCCTGAAACGCCTCCATTGTACTCCTTTTTCTTACTTCTAAACATAATGACGTCACTATGTAACACTTGCGCTTCTACTAGCTAGCGCTCAACACAGCTACGACAGAGCCTGAGAGGTTTGCGACAACATGTCAAGAATACTCTGTTTCCTGCTTTGCACACGGATGGACCTTTGAGTGGACTACCAAAGGAAAATTCATCGAAGACAAGGGGCTTAAATTATCGTTACCACTATTCATCAGGACAGCATCCTGAACCAAGTATAGTGCATGGTCAGATATTCGCGACAGTAACTGAGGAAAGACGTGGTAGTTCCCACTTTGTTAGGCCAATCTGGCAATTCAGGGTCACAACCTGTAAGTAAGCTTTATTACTTGTGGATTTGTTATGTTTGAGACCAACAATGTAGCTACTACTGGGGGTTTAAGTGTGGAGCTGTTGTGGAAGTTAAGTTATAAACACAGTGCTAGCATTGGCTAAGTTGCTAGCTAACGCTAACATATTAAAGCTGTTGTGTTTAAAGGCTGCATGCTCACCAACTTTACAAGAAACTAAAATTGTGTAGAAATTATGAGATGTTTTTTTTTTTTGGAGCTCCTTCAGAGCGTTTTAGACAGAGGGTAAAAGAGGTGCTGTAGCAAAGGCAGTATGAGAATAAAGACCTTTTTGAACATTAAAGCATGTACTCTTTAACATCCTAACAGGGTCAAAACTGATCTTCAGTCTACTCAGAAATCATATAATTTTCCATCAAATGTACCACTAATAATAATTTATTACAATTTAAAAAAGGAGACACATTTACATTATTTCATCCGTTGTTTGGCAAAGTGTTTAAAATAAGCCTTGGAAAATGTCTAATATCCCAAGAAGTAAAGCTCAGCGTGCATAGCTACTGGCATCTATCCGGTAAGCATTAGATCTCTATAAAGTGGTAGTGGATCCTAAGTACAAAAGCTGGTGATGAAATAAAGCAACTCATTTAGCTCACTAAATGACTCACTAAGTCAATGTTTCTTATTTGATACAAGCCAACAAAAATGTCCAGACTCACGTGTTGTTTTTGGGCTTTTGTGTATTCAACCCATACTGTGTGTTCACATACTGGGACACACAAAATGCATTCCTCACTGCCTGAGAGAGCAATCTGGCAGACAGATATCTATCTATGACAAAATAATTAAAAGGAACGGCATACAAATTTAGCTCTTAAAGGTGGGGTAGGTAAGTTTGAGAAACTGGCTCGAGATACACTTTTTGTTATATTCCATGGAATGCTCTTAACATCCCGATAGCAATGAATATCTTAAGTGCTTTGAGAAAAAATCCATAAAAAAATGTCATCTGTGGAAGCCGTAGTACTGTAAAAAGCACGACCAATTATTTTAGGTGGCCCGGCTAAAATAACTGGATGGCCTACCTGCCTGTCAGCCTTCCATCTGTGCACAAACTTATCTCGTGCCCTCATTGGTCATGTGCGCGTTCGTGTGTGTTGGAGGAGGGGCTCTGTAAGGAAGTAGCAGATTTCTTCAGGCTGTTTCAAATTCTAGCGCACTCGAGCTGGTTTCTCCAAAATTACCTACCCCACCTTTAATAGTAATTTCTTGGGGTGACAGCAAGGAGCTTTATTTTTCTAATCCTGAAATGTCGATATATAGAATATGATGCTATTATGCTAATGAATGTTCTACCCTGTACCAGGGACGTGCGGTCAGGTGAGGCAGTGCTCACCTGTCTTCGAGAAAAGTAAAAATACAAATAACAATAAAATGAAATAAATATGAATATATCTCCACTGGTCTGTGCTATAAATGTATTTTCTGTATGATTCCAATCATGTAGATCATTTTTACAGTAAAAATCGCCGATATGGCATATTTACTGTTCTACGGTGAGAGATGTGAGCTGAGGCAGTCTATGGCTGAGCCTCACCTCGGATTGCGCAATCTCTCGCAAACTAGGTTGAGCGCATGCATTTGGCACGTGCCTGTTGCTATCACTCTGTATGTCTCCAAATTCCAATATAATGTTTACAGAGACTTTACTATGTGTCCTGACTTTCCATAGTCTAGCTAATGTATGCAGGGTTTCCAAATTTGGGTACCTGGCTGGAGTGAGATTTTGATATCATGGGTTTAATTACACATATGCGCACTAAATGACTGCTATCGTGTCAGTAGCGGGACCTTAGCATATATATAGGATATATATACAATATATACAAATACACAATGTTGGACACAGACTATAAAGGGCACACAGTTTCATTCACTAATGAAAGTCAAACACATGTTTGTTTCCACTGTTTTATTGTGTGCCTGTCGCGACAAGCAATTCATTGACTTATCGTACGATAAATAAAAATGAACTCGATAACTTTTCTGACCTCGATAAATTGCCATTTACATGAGGATGTGACTAGCAGTTTGAAAGGATGTACTTGAATTATTATTATATATTATCATTATGTCAGTGGTCTAAAATGGTCATACAACGGTGCCGACAATATTCTCGTTTATCGCAATAATTTCCGGGAAAATGTATCCAACAAAATTAATTATCGTGAGAGGCCTATACATGAAACACACACACACAAACAAATCTACAGACTTACTCCAAACTGCCAAATATATTAATTAACACACTCTCACTCTCATATACTCTTTGACTCTATTTTGGCCTAGTAGAACAATAAGCAGCAGACTTTTACTTTTTTATCATTTCTACTGGATCTTAGATCTGCGCATGCGCAATACGGGTTGGGGATTGACCAACCGGCTCCCACTGCTCTGCTGTCTGATAACGTTGTTAAGAGTGGTGGGGGCGGGGAGGGAGCGGATCGACAGCTTGAGCAGCTGTCAACTCAACATTGTAAATAACCAACCGAAAACGATCGCCGGTTCATCTTGTTTTTGGCGTGAGAATAGTTTGGGCAGTGTGAGAGCGTGAGATTGAGAGTGAAAGCGTGTGTCACACGCCAGATGCGTGAGAGTTGGCAACCCTGATGTATGTAATGTTTGTGTGTCACTGTGGGACATATTGTCACTCTGCCGCACTGAAGGGGCGTATGTGAGCCCACAGGTTCTTGTTGCTACTGTTATTCTACGCAGAGACAGTAGATGCAAACAACAAGCTAGACTTTTGAAACTACAAGAAGATAAGGAGGACTTTTACAAAAAAGTAATAGAGATTTTTGTCCAGAAGGATAGGCGCATGGACTTCATCTTCAAGTAAAGGTAAGACCACCATTTTATTGAAAATGGGATCGTACTAAAGAGAGAGCAATCCAATATTTAAATTAAACTACGTTTCGTGGATATCGAAGGTGTGTGGCGCAGCGGGTTGTGCGTTGGTGTTCGGAACAGGGGGTCACAGGTTCAAACCCCACTGCAGTCAGCATGTCGTTGTGTCCCTGGGCAAGACACTTCACCCCAAATTGCTCCTGTGGGGATTGTCCACAGTATGTAAGTCGCTTTGGATAAAAGCATCTAACAAGTGACATGTAATGTATCCTTTTGTTGAACGGTCTGTTTAAAATGAATCGAAGCATCAGACGAAAAAAGCTTTTGAAAATAACAGAATATTTAGATTAAGGTAAAAATATTATAATATTTGTAAATCTGACTCTGTACTGCATGCATTTCCTTTTAAAGGGAACCCAGGTACTATCAGTGTTAAATATCATAGATCACCCGCTCTACGTTACCTGTTTGTCCAGGGAGGTAGATTGGTTTATCTGTTTGGATAAACGTCATTGGTTGATAGCTTCTGATCATGACTTTCCTGACTTCTTTTGAGTAAAATGTGTCACCTCGTACTTCCACCTGGAACTTCTGCACCACTTCATTCTCCACTGAAGGAGTCTGTGACAGAAAATATTACAAAGACACAAAGTGAGCCTTATCTCAATGAAAACATATTTTTGTAGTATTTAACTTAACTTTTCCCTTGATCTTTATCCACAAGGAGTTGCAGTTGCATTTACAATCTGTGTGTGTGTGTGTGTGTGTGTGTGTGTGTGTGTGTGTGTGTGTGTGTGTGTGTGTGTGTGTGTGTGTGTGTGTGTGTGTGTGTGTGTGTGTGTGTGTGTGTGTGTGTGTGTGTGTGTGTGTGTGTGTGTGTGTGTGTTGCTGGATGTGTGATGAAAGCATATTTAGATGTTCCTACTTAAATGTTGCTGGAGAGCTGACCTTGAACTGAGTGCAGATATGAAAGTCTTCACTGGACGTCTGCTGGATGAGGGTTGTATTCGTCTGTGCCGACATCAGAGTGACGGTCATCACCAGAGTCTCGTTGGGCTGCAGGAGACTCGCACAGAATTTGGTCTCAGCTCCAGCTTCAAGAACTGCAGGAATGGCTACCATGTACTGCCTACAGCCACATAAACACACACACACGCACACACACACACACACACACACACACACACACACACACACACACACACACACACACACACACACACACACACACACACAGTAGATATCTCACTGATACTGAAATGGATAAGCTTTCTAGATTTATGAAGCGAAAGTCTTTAACCAACACTCATTTTCAAATCAGACAGTACTTACGGTCCTGCCACTGCTGGATCCACACACATCCAGCTCAAGAAGACACACAGTGTCCGCCCCCACATCTGAATCCCTGGACGACCCATGACTGACTGCAATGATCCTGAGTCAGCATCTGTTAGATAGTTAAATTGCCCACCTACACACACACACACACACACAGCTCCCCTCCCACACACACACACATACACACACACAAACACAAACACACACACACACACACGACACGCACACACACATGCACACAAACACACACATACACACATATCATGTAACCCCTTTATTTGATTTCCACACATCCTATAAGTCAATCATTTCTAGACTTCATGTTGTTCTGCATAGTGTGTAAGTCCCTCTGCAATTTCAACACTTAAATCTGGCAATGTTCAAACTAGAACAACATTTGTTATTCTAAAACAATACAAATCAAGTTGTTGGGGATTCAAAAAATGATGAAATATTCGATTAAATCTGAGTTATTTCAACCATTTATAATTTGGACTCTAAATGCATACACTGCTTCATTCAGATAACCAGAACATTATAAGCCTTACAAATATCTTAGCATTATAAAGCTATTAGGTTATATTTTAAAGATGTTCCTATTGTTTCACTTCATATGCCATTTGAGGATATTGGGCACACTTTAGGCATCCAGGATGATGCGAGGACACTATGGCTGTAATTTACTATTTCCAAAAATCAACTGGTCCTAAATTGCTACAGTAGTTGAGCTCTGCAACATTGCCCTTTACCCAGCGTGGGCTGTTTGGTTTTGTCATGCAAACAGCTTTCCAACTGATTACCAGTGTCAAAGTGGACCATTTTCCGGTAAGTAAACATTTGTGAACTGATGACACAAAATACTGTTCATAAGTTACAACACAAAAGGAATTTACTTGCTGTTAAAATGGGACAAAAATAAAACTTAACTAATTGTTGAATTGATGTCATTGTTTCTTATTTATAACAATTTCCTATGGTTTTAATGTGCCTTTACATGATCTGCAATGTTTTTCAAGTAGAAAGGTTGCATCTTGTGAATTAAACTTAGGAGCTGGAGCTGCAATGAGGTAATTTAACGGGATTTAACGTGTAAGGACAAGACATTTTTTCAGTTTTATATACGGTATGATGGTAATGATAAAGTATGAGAACCTACTCTTTTGTGTTTGTAAAGACTTAAAAATACCTCAGTGCATCTCCAAAATTCCTCACTTTACCCAAATGTATGCCCCCTTTCTTGACAGTTATTTAAAAATAAATGCAAAGCAATTAAGTTTTTTTCTGTAAATTCTCCTCACATGATAACTATCTCAACTTTGACCTAACCCTCTGACCAGGGCCGGACTGGGACAATAAGTCAGGCAGGGAATTATACACCAGTTATTTTGGGGGCGTTTTGCTGGATGTATCGTCAATATGTACAGCGTTGCGGCCCATAGTGATAGCCCTATAGTTCAATTATACTCCCCAAATAGAAACATAGGTTACTATATAAAAAAGTGTGCAATTGTATTTGGTAACCTATCCATGTGAACATGTTTTTAGTGGGGGTGGAACTCAAATCCTCTAGGGGGGTCCCGGGGCATGCTCCCCCAGGAAGATTTTTGTTTTTGTGTGTTGGAGTTAAATGTATCAATCTGGTGCACTTTGAGGCAAAATAAAGAGACTAAATCTATGGAAACACCCATATGAAACAGAACTGTGTACTTTTCAATAATCATAAAATCGTAGGAATACAACAAACAACATACCATATCCAATAACCAATAACATACCATATCCAATAACCAAACATTGAAACTTGTTTATTTTAATTATCTTTGGTTCATTTCTAGTTGTGAGTGTGTCTGGGCTCATGAATCTGCCTCTCCTGTCTCCCTCCTCTCCCCCTGCTCCTGTGTGACGCAGCAGTAAAGACTAGTTTTAGCTCTCAACAAGTCTTTAAAGTTTATCTTGCCTTATTTCACCTAGTTCACTTTTTTTTTTAATTCATGCATATTTTACTAATCACTCCCATTTCAAATGGAAATATGTGTTTACATAAATGGTGACCAAACCGTTTGAGACCCACTGATATAACTTAGACTAAAGTATATCTAAACACTGAGAGAGTCCTTTACCTCACCTGAGCTGACGTTATCAGAGCCTCTCAGTTTGACAGGATTAAATAAAAAATGGGGACAATTCTGTCTTAATGTAGTTTGACCATTGTAACTGCTGTGCAGACATACTGATAAAATAGGGCTTCTAACTAATTACCTTAAATACAAATGTTCTGTCCTTGATGTGTGTTTTTGGTGTATATCTGTCGTGTATGTGTTTTCTTGGCTGTGTTTTGGCACCACCTTGTGGTGGTTGTTTGACACTGCTGCTTTCTAGTGGTTTATTCGATTCCTGTTGCTCCACGTGTAGCTTGGGTTGTTTCATGAACGGACGTCTGCTCTCCATGGGCTGTGCTTCGTATTTCCCGCTGGTTCACGCATCGTCTGTGAGTGTTATTGTCCGACAGACTGTGGCTTCATGGGAATATGTTGTATGTAAAATGTTTATGTTTGTAGGAATGCAGTGAGTATTCTTTGCGGCTAAGCTACTAGCGGCTAGGCTGATTAGCTTCTCAGTTTGTGCACCGTAGCTCATTGTGTGAAGTATTCTGTCTATTTAGCTCGTCAGTCGGGCAGTCAATAATAAACTGTTATGTCTGTATTATCTTTACAGTTTCACCAAGTAAAGAGACTTCAACTGACAACTGTGCTGGAGTTTTCTTTCAAACGGTTTAACTGGATGGATAGCTAGCTCAGTGCTAGTGAGACCCTTACAGTGAAAAGACGGCATTACAGCCAGCTCCGGGGACGGAGACAGGCTTCCTACGGAGCGACACCAAGAGCTAAGTGGCTAACTCAGTGCATATGTACAGCCTTCACGCCAGCTTATCTCTTCATCCACGTTATTGAATTCACAACCCAGCCATTATGGAAGAAAATGACAACATGGATAAAATAAGTGTAAACGCACACTCTGTGCACACACGTGCGTCGCGCTCATCATCCAGCTCAAAGGCTAATTTAGCACTGGCTATGGCTATGGCAAGGGCTGAAGCAGCACAGGCTAGAACATCACACTCTAAGTGGGAAATTGAGCTAAAAGTCGAGCAAGCACGCATTCAAGCTACTCTTGATGCATTAAAGGACGAAAAGGAGAAAGATGCTGCCATAGATGAAGTAAAAATGTTGCAGGCTGGTTTACTAGAACTTGATGTTGAAGAGGCCAGCAGAGGCTCTAATCCAGTGTCTCAACACTTTATGTACCAGCGCACCGCTGCTTATGTGAAAGAGCAAACCAGCAGAATAGGTGGATCGCCTAGCAAAATTAGTGACATTGTTGCCCCCATAGGCCCACACCTAAATGAACCATCACAACATAGTAAAGGAGAGGATGTTAAGCCTACACAGTCCTACTCACTTAAAGGCCTTGCTCAAACACAAGCTGCTGTTTCTACCCAAACTACGCCTCACCACACATTAAAGGCTCCTCGACCTGGTACACCAGCACCGCCGTGGACTCTCAATAAGCAGTCTCCATTCTCTGCTTATCAGCCTAACCAAGGTACGCCCTATGAAGCCAGTTACCACAACCCTCAAACAACTAACGATCTGGCTAAATATCTTGCCCGCAGTAACTTAGTGACATCAGGCCTCACAACATTCGACGATCAACCAATGAATTATTGGGCTTGGAAAACGTCCTTCCTAAGTGCTATTGCTGGTCTGGATCTGTCTGTTGGAGAAGAACTCGACCTGCTCTGCAAATATCTGGGAAAAGAGTCATCAGATCAGGTGAGGAGAATCAAGGCCGTCAACATCAGACACCCTGACGCTGGACTAATGATGGCCTGGGAGAGGCTTGAGGAAATATACGGCTCACCTGAGGTTATTGAACAGGCTCTCTTTGACAAGCTAGAAAGCTTCCCCATACTGACCAACAAAGACCCAAAACGACTCAGAGAATTAGCAGACCTGCTGTTAGAGCTTGAGGCTGCTAAGAGAGATGGCTCCCTCCCAGGTCTGTCATATTTGGATACTTCCAGAGGGGTTAAGCCCATCATCGAAAAACTCCCATACAACATCCAAGAAAAGTGGATATCTTATGGTTCAAGATACAAACGTGATCATCATGTCAGTTTCCCACCTTTCTCTGTCTTTGCAGACTTTGTTCGTACAGAGGCAAAAGCTCGTAATGATCCCAGCTTCAACCTCTCCTCGACAGTTCCTATGGAGAAAAAGAGTACGTGGGAGAAATTCACGAAGATGCCTGTATCTGTTCACAAGACACAAGTGTCGTCTGCTGACAGATATGAAAGCAGAGAGGATAAGAAGCTAACAGACCCAAACAACCATTATCCTCTACATAAGAAACCACACCCTCTGAAGAAATGCAGAAGCTTTAGAGAAAAGAGTCTAGAGGAACGCAAACAGCTCTTAAAGGAACATTCCTTCTGCTTCCGGTGCTGCTCCTCTACTGGTCATCTCGCCAGAAACTGCACGGCTGAGGTGAGATGTATAGAATGTGGGAGCACGGGTCACGTGTCAGCACTACACCCAGGACCAGCAGTCTGGAAACCTAAGCCCTCTCCTCCCTCTTCAGAGCACGGCGGGGAGGAAGACAAAGAAGACCATCAGGTCACATCAAGGTGCACACAAGTGTGTGGTGAAGGTGTTAGCGCACGAGGATGCTCAAAAATATGCCTTGTAAGTGTGTATCCAGCTGGTCGCTCGGAAGAGGCCAAGAAAATGTATGCAATACTGGACGAGCAGAGTAATCGTTCCTTGGCACGCTCTGAGTTCTTCAATGTTTTCAAAATCACAGGGCCTTCCTTCCCTTACACACTGAAAACATGCGCTGGACTAACTCAGACAACAGGGAGAAGAGCTAGTGGGTTCACAGTGGAATCAGCAGACAAAAAGTTAAGCTTTCCTTTGCCTACACTTTTAGAGTGCAACCAAGTTCCCAACAACCGCTCCGAAGTCCCTACGCCAAATGCAGCTCATCACCATGCTCACCTGAAGTGCATCGCCGACGAAATACCACCTCTCGA